GAATACTGGGGTGTTGGGGTGTGTGTGTGTTAAAGAAAGAAGGAAGGCTGTGGGGACTTCAGTTTTGCATATACTATTGTATTTCTTTGATCAAAAACTGGTTAAAGGAATGATGCAATACTGATGAATATTGACTGAGAGGAGAATAGATATATTTTCTCTAATACTTGAGTAATTGACATACAGAGGCACTCCCCTCCCCCCGCCTCCCACATATGCTGGCTAACAGTGTTCTGAGCAGCTTCTAGATTTACATGACCTTCCCATCTGTGCTGAAGGTGGTAGCCTTTTCTTGTGAACGTTATCTTAAAGATTAGATTAAATACTAACAAACTGGGGAAATTCTTATTTTTAACCCAGAAAACAAAATAACTGCCACGGAATGTAAGATGAGTCCTCCAGTTGCAGCCTGCCGGCTTTGCCCCACCTAGCTCCAAAAACCTTTAAGATCCTTGGCAAGGCTATTCTGGGCCTAAGGTGGGGGTGGTGAGTCAGACGAGCCTCCTCACTCCACCCCCACCCCAATGCTTTATTCAGGTGAAATTGGGTTAGAACAGATATACAGGGCCTCTTGGAAGCCAGCTCTGAGAATTGGCCTTGAACAGGGCTGGCCTGGTCGGCGGGGCTGCACCGACGAGTAAACAGCCTTGTTGAACACCCTGTTCAGATGCAGGCCTAAGGCTTCCTGAAACAAAGCACTCTGGTGAGTGCTTGCCATATATTTCTTAATGCTCCCTCGAGACAAGCAAATCTCTTCATGCCGGTTCTTAAATTTATCAGGAATAGCAAAGAATAAAGTAGCGAATAATCAACAGACAGGACAGGCACTGACCCTCCAGGTCACTACTGCCTCCCAACTCTTAAGCTCCCAGGCCAATCAGGATGCTAGTCTGAGTCAGGCCAGAGCTAGGGCTGGGGATGTAGGTGAAATCCAACCGCCTGTCATCCTGCCTTCCTGCTCTGCAAAGGTAATTAGGACACTTGCCACGGAGGGCTGCTTTGTAGACTCTGTGGGACTTAGCATCGCTGCCAGTTAAGTAATGAGCCCCAAAGCCCTGGGAACTTAAACTAATGTCATTGGGAACTAGGCTGACCACTCACCCACTCCCACCCCCGTTTTATGGGTGAAAATACTGAGGGACAGGCACCCAGCTCAGTCAGTCACTGAGCCCAAGGGCAGAACTTGTGAACCTCAGTCCAGACTCTGCGCTATTCCAGTGTTGGCTAGGTGTCCACAGGTGAGCAGTGAATACCAGGGTGGGGGCAGGGTGGTGTTGCCTCCGCCGGGTCTGAGGCATTGGGCTGGGCTCTTCAGACAGGATCCACAGGGCTCTGACTCCCATGGTTCCCTGAGACTCTTTGCATTTGGTTTCCCAGCACTAGTTAAGTGGGCTTTTTATTAACAAGCTTTGTGCGTTCTGGGGACTGGTCTCTCTAGTCACCTGAACTTTACGTCAGAGATGGGATCAAGTTCCCTATTTCTACTCAGCTAGCTACCAATCTGAAAGAAAGAGGCTGTAAGCCATGCCTGTGACATTTAATGGAGATTTCGCCTGAAAAAGAAAATACCACTTAGCCTTTTAATTTAGCTATCTGACTTCATGTTGTATATGTATAAGCAAATGTGTGCAACTTTTTGTGTTTGCAGCATGTGCATTTTTGCATGCACCTGAGTGCCTGTGCACACGTGTGGAGGCCAGAGGTTGTCAGGCTCCTCCACAGTCACTCTCTACCTCACTTTATTGTTGTGGAAATAATCTTTTTGTACACTGTGAAGATGTGTCTTAGCCAAGGCACTTTCTGGTTGATTTAATAAGAGGTTAAATGGCCAGACTGGGAGAATGCTGGGAGGAAGAAAAGCGGAGTTCACCAGTGAGACACAGAGGAAGCAGGTGACGAGCATGCCGTGCTGGAAAAAGGTTCCACCACATGGGCGAGCATAGATGAGAAATATGGGTTGATTTAAGATGTAAGAGCTAGCTAGTAACAAGCCTAAGCTACCATCCAAGCATTTATAATTAGTAATAAGTCTCAGTACGGTTGTTTGGGAAGCAGCTGACAAGGACAGAGCCGACTGGCAGTCCCGATGAAAAACCCCACCTATACTCCCTGGACCTGGAGCGCTCTGATTTGGCTAGACTTGCTGGACAACAGTGCTGGGATTACTTTGTCCACTGTGCAGTGGTAAACTCAGGTCCTCACCTCCAATGGAGGTGAGATACTCACTGTCACTATCAACTTTTCACAAACTTTACAATCTGTCCCTGTGTTCCTCACAGTTACTGAGCCCTCAGCCTCAGATCTCCTCATCTGCTAACTGAGGTATGAATACCCACTCTTCATGTTCTGGAGAAATGAGGTGTTGTGTGAGAAAAACTTTTGTAAACTTTGGGGCGATCCTCTGATTTCTCTTGTACCGAGTCATTCCTTCCCTCTTGAGGTGAGTGCTAAGACTGTGTCTAGCACTCGTGGCCGGGGTGGTATGGTTGCCTGAGCTGAGGCAAAGTTTACAGTTCAGTGTGCATGCACAAGTGCTCACACACAAATACACACATACAAACATACACACACATGCACACAGATACATCACACCTGTGCACACATATATACCTACATCCACACACATACAAATATATGCATATACAAATATATACTGTACACCATATATGCACACAATATACACATATTTGCACAAATGCATACACATGTATGCACATATGTACATATACACAGAGACATATGTGTACATGTACACATGTACATAAACACACACAGAGCAGGAAGGAGGAAGAGACTGCACTGAGGTCAGAGGATTTGCTGAGTTTTAACACTTGCTGCATAAATTTGCTTGCTAGTTTCCAAGCTAACTCACTCCAGAACACCTGGGATCTTCCCTTCCTAGTTCAGGCAAAGGACTCTTGGTCGAGTTACTGGGTGCATCGGAGCCTTATTTAAGAGATGTAATATTGCTTGTCTCCCTGGGTTGTCATGTCAAACTCTGACATGTTACGGCCCGCAGTTGAAGCTGAGTTTTTCTGTCCCCTTTTAACTTTCCCCTCCTTTCTCTTCACTCTTCTAACCCTCCAGGGCTCAGCTTGCATTTCTATGCTATTGTGGTTTTAGAAGCAATGAAGGGAGGTAGTGTCTTAATGGCGTCTTCCCAGGTTGGCTGACCTCGGCTGTGCTATTGTCCGTTGTAGCAGGCACACATAGAAGGCCGCTCACCGGCTTCTCTTCCATGTTCCCCCTGATGCTCCCCTGCCTTCTAACACCTGTCACTCACCTGCCCCACCCTCTGTCTTTCAGAGTCTCCTCTTGATCATACCACCTGGGACTACCCACTGTCCTCTGGATGCAGAAATGGTGCCTGTCCTAATCCACTGCCAACCCACTGTCACATGACAACCTAGCCCCGACTCCCGAAGCGTACTCTCATGAATAAATGCTAAAAACAGTTATTATGAAGAGACAAGGAAAACAGGAAGTGCTTCGCAAAGCTCTCAACAAGCCACAGCCTGACAGCCCATCCACTCCCGACACGCTACCGCCATTTGCCACCAGGCCACCAATTCCCAGTGTGGTTGAGGAGGTGCCGCTCGCATTCTGGACCCCAAGGGGACCATCAGGCATGGCCAGCCTGGAGCCAGTGGGGCGGTCCAAAGAGGCAGGGGAGCTGAGCTGCTGTATTCTGGGCACAGTGTCAAGGCCAGCTGCAGGGAGAACAAGGACTCGCTGTGTGTCCGCAGCTGGCCGTGGTTAGGCAGGGCTGTCCCTCACTAGCCGTATATTTAAAGAGCCCCCAACAGAGGGTGGTGCCAGGAGGAAGAATGCACACAGATCTGTTTGCCACTCTCAGCTCCTTCAGCTTTAGCTCCCAGGCAGTGCCTTTATGTATAAATGAGGAGGGCCGGCTGCTCTGCTTCTCCCAGGTCTAGGTAGCCTCAGCCATTTATCACTTGGAGACACAGGTTCTTGGTCTTTGGACCTCTGTGCCCTGTAGCCAAGCTGGCAGGCAGGAAGGTGCCTCCCACCATGGTGTCAGTAACCCAGCAACCAAAAAGGAGAGGCCTGCAGATGAGTCAAGTAGAGACAGCATTGTGGAACCTCTGGCTGTGTTTGTGAACACTCCCCGTGACCGTGGGCACAGCCTCCCTTCCAGCAGGGAGTGGCAGGGCCTTCCCACTCTGCCACAGGCTTAATCCTCCTATCAGAGGGGTGGCCAGGCCTCAACAGAGGCTTATGGCTCACAGCAGCTTCTAGACCTGATTTTTTTTCCAGGACTGGGGGATATGGTAGCAGATTTCCTGCCTGAATATGTTTTTCTTAAGTGCAAAGCAGACTGCAGGCCTGAATTCCAGGAGAAGCTGGGGTTATTAGCAAAGAATCCACGGGCAGAGGCCCAGCGAGTGAAGACAGCAGGTGTGCATAGAAATCTGGTCTCTAATAGGCCAGAGACATGCCCCTGGAAGTCAGCTAGAAGACTTCAGGAGGTCAGTGCTGCAAAAGCGGGCAGGAAGCAGGCGAGCTCGTGAAGCAGGCAAGGGCAAACTGGCTGAGGCAGGCCGCTACAAGTGCTGTAAGTCGTGAGGAAAAGCACAGCCAACGACAGCGTGAGCCTCGTCATTGTGGGGCCCAGTTCAAACTGAAAACGCACAGCTCTTTGTTAAAAAAATATTCAGTTTCAAGATGGTGACCAAAGGGCTCTTCAGGTCACAGGGAGCTTTGTGACTATGTGCAGGCTACACACCCACAGGACGCTTCTGGGCACCTGCCAGTCTGCCCTTTGAGGCAGGTGAGATGGAGGATGCTCTGGTCAACTCTCAGCCCACGAGTAAGTGGGACTCACGGCTGAGGGTCAGAGTGACTACCCTATAAGGATCCCAGAGCCCCAAGATTCACTTGCTTGGGTTAAGAAGGAATTCACCAACAACCGAAGCCCTCTAAATGAGGTCGTATAGATATCTGGGGACAGGATGGTCTACACGATAGACTAGACTTACCTCCAGCTCTATGTGGTCATGGAGTTTCTTACAGGTGGCTGCAAAGGTCTCCGAGGTACCAAATTCAAAATACCACAGCTTGTTCTTCATCCTGGATCATGAAGCAGAGAGACATTTTCAATCAACATTGTGTACTTGAACTGGTCCTGGGGAAAAAAAAAAAACTTTGCTCTTTGGATCCTGTGGCCCAAGCTCCAAGTTCCCCAGTCTTACTCTGCAACACTTGTCAATCGGATTATCAAGGAATAGAAAATGTATCAACATGTTGCTCATGGCTTGGGCATCACAACTCTGGGAGAACTGCTGGCTGGTTCCTGAGGTTCCGGGGGGGGGGGGGGGGCAGGAAAACCATGCTACTCTATGGAACTGCATCAAGGAGCCTTCCTGTGGAAGCCAGCCTGAGGTATCCCTGCTCATGATCAGTGTAGAGCTTCCTTCTGGGCATGGTTAGGGTACAAACACCACACAGCCTTTCCAGACTCAAGACTCACAGTCTTAGGAGAGATGAGGGAAACTCCACACTAACCCAGACCCAGTACATGACAGCTGTCTGGTTTCTGTTTAGAGGAAGCAGTGTGACAAAATTCATACAGATTTGGAAAGGGAGGGAGTAAGGGTGGGTTGCTTGGGAGCCGTGGCCACCGGCTTCCCAGGTGTATGTGTGAAGGCCACTTAGCCCCTCTTCAGAGATGATTTGCTTCAAAGTAGGCGCTTGCCTGTCTGAGCATTACAGATTTTCAGCGCTTTCTTTAGGAGACAGAGAGGAATTAAAATCAATCATTGAGGTGCTTATGAATGGGGGGCTTTCAGAGTCAAGTGGGGTCCCTGCACTCTGGCTTGCTCAGACAGTCTCAGCAGGAAGTGTCCCTTTGCTACTCCATTCCTTCCGCCCCAACTGTCACTCCACTAGCAGGGGCTGGCTGAGACAGCCTTTGCTAGGGAAGGATTAAACAAAATGACATTCTTCTTGGCACTCAAGACAGAGGAAGCCTCCTCGACGCTTGCTAATCCTCAGCTCTGTGGGCCAGGGGGAAAGTATACTCTCCACAGGAAGGGGGCTCTTGCTTCTTCCCAGGTGACTCATCGGCCCACCCGCCACGCTTTCCGCGTCTCTCCAGTAGTTCACCTGGAACTGCATTCTTCTACCCTATGACGATTTCTAAGATCCAGTTTGTTGGGCAGCTGCCTTTCCCTCTTGATGTGTGTGGGAATAAACAGACGACACGTAGGGGAAAGCGTAGGTCGTTGTGCTTCATAAACACCCTGAGACGTGTCGGGAGTACTCTAGGTCAGTGCCCACCAGCTGGGCCACTGCACGGGCTTGCGTTGAGTCACCGCTTTTTCGATCCCTGGGCAGCATGTGAGGTCTGGGGCAGGCTGAGCCCCGCGTTCCAGCAGGCATTCTCGCCTGTACCTCAACTGAGTCGCATACGTCTTTTCAATTCCTATGCCCGCTACAGTGGGAAACACCCGAGGATGCGGCACTGCCCCACATTACTGTTTCTGTGCCCAGAAACGGGCATGTGTATCCCATCCACGTATCTTGTTCACAGGAGATTCTGGGTTGTTCGTTCATGATGGAGCCCTTGGCTTCCCTTTCTCTAACAAGCTGTTGGTGTGGCTGGTGGAGAACTGGGGTGCCACCTCTGGTTCTCAGGTACCGGCATCCTTCAGAATTCCCTGTTTGAAAGGCTGTTGCCAGCATTCGATTTGTAGACTCTGACAGCTGTGGAGCGGAGTCCAGGAGCATGTACTTGTATGGGTGTCCAGATGATCATTATGCTTATGGCCAGTGGACAGGGCCAGTACTCCAGATGCTATGAAAACGGTTGACAAATATGGAACTATTTGAACCTGCAGGAGAGGACTCCCCAGAGGAAAGGCAGGACAGCGCCTTTCAGCTGGCAGTGATGGCTGGCGACCAGGTAAGGGGAAAACACAGGTGGTTCTGAACACCAGGGCCCTGCATCCCTTCCCAGCAGTACTAGCAGCCCTGTAGCGAGAGGCTTGCCCATCCTGCGAGCCTATTTTCAGGCATCACTGCTGGTCTGAATCATGACTTCTGAAAGTTATTGCCTGGAGATTTAGAGTTTTAATAAAAATTTCCGGAAGCCATGGCTATTTTTGCCCCAAAGTGGCTCTTTTGATGATCTAACAAGGTTAGGAGGTCGCGACTAGGTCAGCAGAATGAGAGGACCGACTGGGTTACCCATCCACAGATAGCTGTGTGGCCTTTGGCAGGATGTTTAATCTCTTTAAATCTCACTCTCCTCTCCTGTAAAACAGCGAGTGAGAGTGATCTGCTTCTCAGGACAGTGGAGAAGACTGAGTGAGTGACGCTACTCACTCTTAGCCGTTGCTGTTTCACAGTCGGATAACACAGTAAGGCAAAAATGACAGACCTGCCTGGCTGTATAGCTGTAGGCTTTATGTATTTATATGCAGTGTGGAGGAAAATACTCAGTCATATTTGTTAGATCATGCGTTTTGACTTTTGGCTAAAAATTTGTTCCCCTCATATCTAATTTAATACATTTTTTTAAAGAGTCATAGATCACATCCTAATCCCTAGTTAGGGATTGGTCATGTGGTTGGTCAAAGACATGATATGATGACAAATATACTCTGAGAAGCTGAACTGCATGTTTGATATGAAACAAAATAGCAATATGGGGTTGGAGCCATGGGTCAGTGGGTGAAGGTGCTTGCCACCAGGGCTAATGACCTAAGTTCGATTCCTGGGATTTGCATGCTGTTCTAAAAGTTGTTCTCTTTGTTTTTTTTCCACATACCACGGTATAAATAAATTTCTACAAATAAAAACCTAAAAATATTAATATAACACACATTCATGTTACAGACTAGGGGGGATGTGTGACATACAACAAAGAACAAAATACAGAATTTCATGAAGCAGGCACCTTGTCAAGAGGACACGGAAGGAGGCTGTGATGGGCTGAGCACTAGGGCATACAGAAGGAAAGACACTCAGTTCTTAATGGGCTCAGAAGCAGTCAGGACAAGTGTCCTTAGGGTAGGGCGATGTTCAGTTGGGTTCAGAAGAATGCAAGGAAGCAGAGAAGATAAGGAAAGGCCCACCACTCTAGGCAGAGGAGGAAGCCCAGGGATCTTCGTCTCACTTCCATTGCTAAACAAAGCTCCTAGAGTTGGTCAGCTTATAAAGAAAAGAGGTTTGTTTAGCTTGAGGTCCAAGAATGGGGCACTGGATCAGCTAAAGGCCTCGTGTTTTGCCACAGCATGGCTAAGAAGCAAAAAGGAGAAGCAGGTGTGTGCAGAGAGGAAGCAAAGTCCACCCAAGGAAGCTGGGCTTAGAGAAACAAACTCCTTCTTGGGCAAGCTACACTTCATGATGGCAGGTCCCTTATGATCCAAGGTTGCCTCAAGGGCCCTGCTGCCTCTCAACCTTGCTACACTGGAACCAAGCCTCAAATGGAGTTGTGGTGAAGAAAAACCTCATCCAAACCATAACCCCAGGAAATGGGCCAGGGCACGTGCCAGTGGAACACGGACCTCAAGTAGGGGTGGGATGGGGTGCCAGCTAGCCGCAGGAGAGCAGGCTGGACATGCCAGTATGTGGGCTTGATCATGAAGCGCACAGGGAGTCACAGGCCATCTTTGTGAAGGAATGACGGCAGGATGGTGACAGTAATGACCTGATCTCTTGTAGGGGTCTGGAATGTGTATGGTTTATATACATGTTTGTGTGAGTGTATGCATGTGTATGTGCAGGTTGTGTGTGTGTGTGTGCAGTATGTATGGAGGCCAGAAAGTGATGTCAGGACTCTTCCTCTATTGTCCTCCACCTATGTCTTGAGACAGGGACTCTCACTAAATCTGGAGTTCACTATTTTGGCCAGACTAACTGTCAGTAAGTGCCAGGCATCAGTCAGTCTCTTCCTCCCTTGTGTGGGTGCTGGGGATCTGAACTTGGGTCCTCATGCTTGCTCCAGAAGCACTTTAAAAATGCAGACTGGATGCTCGGAGAGTAGTTTCGATGTGGTGTAGGAGTCCAGAATAGAACTGCCCGAGGCCTGAGCAATGGCAGTGAAGTGATGTCAAATAGAATCAGAGGCTGTAGGAGGCAGGATTGGCAGAGCTGGTCCTGAAGAGTGAGAAGCAGCATCAGGGCAGCATGGCATATTAGGGCTGGTTTCCCAAGACCAGGATGCAGGAGGTCAGTTTTCTTGGGGCTAGTCTTCATTATAACTAAAGGATTTTGATTTTGGCCCATGTGTCCATCTTTCCATCCATCCAAATGTATTGAAGACACATTGATACCTACCATGGGCCACACACCAACAAGGAGCAGCTTTGTGTTCTCACTGAGCTTTTGTATGTCCAAGAGTGACATTGGCCTACTGGCCCATAGGACACTCTTGTGCTTAAAAATCTTACAGATTCTGTCCTCTGTTAATGCAGGCATTTGGGAGTAAATGCGTTCTATACCCACAGCCCCTTGGTTTTGCAGTCTGCTAAATATTTTACTTTTCTATTTTGGATTTTATGTGTATGACTAGTTTCCCTGTACATATGTTTGTGCACCATGCACACGCAGGGTCTGAAAAGTTCAGAAGAGGGCATTGAACCCCCTGGAACTGGGGTTGCAGATGACTGTGAGCTGCCACATGGGCTCTGGAGACAACCTCGCTCTGCTACAAAAGCAGCCAGTGAGCCAGTGCTCTTAACCCCTGAGGTATCTCTCCAACTCCTCTTGTAAACATCCTTCATGTAAAATTGCTTAAATTCTTAGAAGAGTCTCAGAGAGCAGCGATTGTTCATTCTGCAAGAGGATTCAAAGATTGGATTCTCCTCTGTCACGCCCTTTCTGCCTTTCCCTTAGCCATCACAGCCAGCCCCTCTTCAAAGCCTTTGGTAGGAGGTGAGAGCGGCATGGTGGACCATAGTTTTAGGCAAGAGACTCACAGTCCCTTCTCTTTCAACCAGAGAACCTGGACACTGCTGTTCCCTCTCTTTTGGACACGCCTCCCAAGCCACATCACTCCTAAATCCCGTTGGAGGCTTCTGTTGTTCAATGTAGCCCTGATCTGTCTGCTTGTCTGCTTCATCCTC